CACACACACACACACATACACACACAAGCAAAAAGTAGCAGGACCAGTATGAAATGTATTTAGCCAAACTAATCTATATCATTCCAGGTTTTTAATTTTATTTTGGCTTAATTAATTATAGTTAAGAGGTAGGATAGAGCCGGATAATCTTCTTGCCTTAGTGTTAACGTGAGACTTCTACAAGAATGACACCCAGCTCTGATTATGTCCATCATATGATGGACGAAAGCTCAACCCGTATTCACGCGAAACGAGGAAGGAGATCTCGTGGACTGCATCAACCTGTACGTCGTATAAAAGCCAAACGGCGGCAGTACAACAGGATTCATCCATCTTCTTCTGGTGAGATCGAACTGCGAATCCCTTCTTCCGGCACTTTCATACGAAACGAAAGTCCCCTAAAAATGTTATCTCAAGAGATTAGGGAGTCTACAGAAATTTAGATAGTGGCAAACGTGCTAAATCGGAGAAAAAATGTATAAACTATTGGTGGCTGTTGTGTAGGCTTAAGGAGAGGATGAGCAGGAAGAGCCACCGAACAAGAGAATGAGACTGGATTAGCCTCGAGTCTAGTTAGGGCAACCATACTCCAAATGACATGAGCGCGGCATACATTAAATACACACACATATACCTAAACGTAAGTTAACATGAGATAATCATATACTAGTTTATTTGTATAAGGAAACTGCTGCCGCCAAATCCACTTCCGGATCATGAATTAGCGGCATTTATCTGCGAGCATATAATCTAAGCTTGAGGTAGTCAGCCAAGTATAATAATTGCTCATTAAGATCTCACGGTTAGGAGCATATTAATTGACTAGGGCCACCTTTTCTTTTGAATTAGTATATTTTTGCGCTATTTTGTAAAGTATAATATCTTGATCTGATTAGTTTTGTCTTGGTACAGACAAAAGATTAGCACAGGGCGGATGTGAATTACAAGAAAGTCCAGGCCTTTTCCCATATCACATTCTTTGGTGTGATTGTCTATGAAACAAACGTATTTTAGCTATAACAATCGACTACGTCACTTATTCTTGCTATGTAAGTAGAGTTTCGAGACTACCAGTAAATAAGTAATAGGAGACTTGTGACCAAAGGTTACTCGTGGCAATGTGGCGTAGTGGTTAACGTGTAGAGATCACACGCTGCACTGTCATTGTTCGACTCCTGCTGGAGTTGATGATAAGGGCTAGGCGAGGTCGAAACGGAAGTACACCCTGTATGAGAACGACATTTGGGAAAGAAATGGAAGCGTCAGCTCTACTCATATCATTGTGGGAAAATTCGACTACCAATCCTCCATCACCCTGAACGAAATAGGGTAAATACATCTTATAGTCCTCCTTTGGTTTCCAGTTAGACCATTTGACGAAATTCTTCTGGCAAACTTTTTGTTCCAAATGGAAATTGCTGTCAAAATAAATCACTAAAGCATACTCCAAAACCCAATTATTTTCATATCTTAACATTACGTGTGTCTGCGTCCTTTAATAAATATTTAAATTTGAATTTTTCTAAATATGACTTAACTCAAAATATGGCTGTAGCAAATCCGTTGAAAAATAATGGAGAAGACTTTTAGTAAAAATTGTATCTTAAACCAAGTATAATTCCACAAGTGTTGAGCTTATTCCCATTTCGAGTGAAAGTGTTTGGTGAAGAGATTCGAAGTTCGCTTCCACCAGAAGATGACAAACGATTCCTCTTGAACAACTATCGATTGGCTTTACTGGAACATTCATGTTGACGCTGTTTCCGAGAAAATCTCCTTCGATTCCGGTGAAAAGGTGCTAAGCTTTCGTCCGTCAGTGATGACAGTGAGCAATGATGGCTCATAGTAATTAGGATAGTAAAAGTAATGTCTTCCCTCTTCCCCTTTCTACATACATTTTATAACCATCACTCCGATTGCACAAGATCGGACACACGTCTAGCTCTGTTGATGAGCCTATTTTTTGATTTTGGTCTTAATGCGAGACAGGAAGTCAGAAAGACAATGATACCTTACTCTAAGGATGTTCGCTATATGACGCACGAAAACCTAGCACCTTTTCACCGGAATCGAAGGAGATTACCTCGGAAACAGCGTCAGCATGAATGTTCCAGCTGGTCAAGTGGAATCCTCTGTCCTCTTCTGGTGAAATCGACTTTCGAATCTCTTTACCGAGCACTTTCCCTTAAAATGGAAGTAAGCTCAACAATAATGAAGCAAGAAAATCCTCGAAACCCAACTTTTATTCGCATATAATTTTACAATTTGATGATATTGACAGGAAGCTATAGCGGAACGCACTTAGTCCAGAGTCCATAGTGGTTCATTCCCAGACGTTTCGCCGGCATCGTCAATGAGTCTTGCCATTCTTAGCACCATACTACAATTCGTCAAAGAGACAAGTGAAGTCGATCCTTTGACCAAATGTGGGTCAAACAGTTGTGGTATGTATCCTTCTGTCCTGGGCTATTCACCTCTTCTATATCCTCGTGTCACCCTTTCACAATCACACTTTCTTACTTGCTTATTTAAATGTCTTATGGTATGCCCTAATCAGCTGATTTCATTAGACCTCTTCACACCCCACGCTGGCTTTCTCACCCCGTTGTGCTGAGACTGTTTATCTGAGTTTGCCATATTAGTACGCAATCCTCTTCGCATAGGCCCTATCAGAGTCTCCCTCTTCCCCCGTAGGATCGGTCTCTTAGCTCACTGGATCTGGAATATAACTTGACCACTGCCACCCAATCTGTGCTACTTGAAGCGTTATTTCCAGCACTGCCTCAAGCCTTTGATGGCACGTGTACTTCTGCCTCACTGAGCACGCCCCAAAAGTCTGGACTCTCATGCTGGATTGGAGACTAACTCGACGCCATATATCACCTTCGTCTGTGCACTGGATAATTATCATAGTCAAACCTTTGCTTTTCGCACTACATCTATCATGAAAGACGTCTACTGTCAGCCAACTAGCTCTAGTCTTCACCGCTTTTATCCTGTTTCTATCCCTAATAGCAAGTCTATGACCTCCTATGTCCTAGTCTCTTTTGGGCCAGGCTAGGAAAATAATTAATTATTTCTTATAAAGCATTATGCTTTGCCATTACGAACTAAAAACTTTACATGAGAGGCTTTCCTTTAGGCGTGACCTAACTAAAATGTATCCGCTCTATGCATGCTTCACTGGGAATGCATAACCTCTACGCTGAGGAAAGCTATTTTCATCTCTCACATGCACATTCACCAAGAACCTTAACATATCCAAATATCGTAATATGTTAATAAATGCCAGTACACATTTTGTCGACTAATAAGCTACTTTCACCCCGTCATAAGGTGAAACTGATCATAAAATTATGGTTAGCATTATCAGTTCCAACTATGGGAATGCAAAAACACGAAAAAACGAAAAATCGTCTGCTCAGGATGAATTATACTCTCAGCAGTCTGCTTATAATTTTATAAACATTCGTGTTATTGTTTTAGCGATGAAATTCAGTGAGAAAACACAGTTTCCTTTTTTTTATTTTTCCCTTTACTTTTGCGTTGGATGTAAAGTTTTTTAAAGTTGTTAAGTAATTAATTATAGGCGGTATGGTTGTGCCCACTTGTTAATGATACTTTTAAGCTATTACTGACAAATTCGTTATTCGCTACCAGTAGTCGTAGCTGGAAACCCATAAACTCTTCATTACTAAAAGTCTTAATATATGCAATTATAATAAAATAAAGTCATTAAAAAAGAATATGCTCATTTAGCATTTATGACCAGCCGAGTGGATTTTACAAAATGTATATAGTAGCATAATCTTGCCCTTTTCTTGATTAATCTCATATTTCGCCTCAGATGGCAATAACCTAATTAGTATCATTTTTCACAAGTAATGATTCCCTAAGCAAATGGTTTCGTCCCCGCTAAAATTATTCCTACCTTTCTAAGTCGATTAACTTAAAGTAGGAAGGAAACGTTACAAACCTCAAAACACACTTTAAATTATGCCTATCCCTTATGCAGCAGCGAACCTACCAATACCTTGCTGCCTTTCGAGATGATCAAGCGAGTAGCGCAACTAGCCAGTCAGCCGATGAGAGACAAAATGTGTCTGCTGGATTCTTGCGACGCCTCGGAAGAGGAGGTGAGACCGTTTCGCCTAACCCTGACAGTGGCGCTACCCTTTTTTCACGACGCAGAGCCTCTTCTGCTGCTCTGACCCTCCTCGGCCATCTGCAGCGCTCGCTAGAAGGTGTTCCTGACCCACTATATGGGTCTTTGTCCCCACCTGTTCCCAACACGGGTACAACCCGTCGTCTTAGCCTAGATACTGGGCACGCCGTCTCCTTGAGCCAGCTAACTGCCTTGCAACAACAACAACAACAACAGCAACATCAATTATATCATCATCACTCCCATCAGCATCTTCATCTTCATCAAAGGACGGTTGGTCAACCTGGCGGTTCTCCGAGTTCTCCCATTTCGCCACATCATAAAGCAATCTATCCGAGCACATTGACTGACCTGAACGCTCGTCAATTTGAGACGGCATACCGAACAACTTTGGATCAGCTTCCCGATTTTGGATCAGGCCTGCTTTCTTCGGAGCCGCCAGAGGCTGGAATGTTTAATTTTGATGAAATTCGTCCTTTTGGCTTGTACTCTGCAAGCACATCTAGCCTACCGGCAGATGAGCAACGACAAAATAATATTGACAAGTCGGGGGAACTGGCAGTGGCTAGTCTTGCGGCTGCGGTTGCTACCAGTACCGAATGTCTGACACAACAAACTGCTCTGTCCTTCTGCCTGGCGGAAAAGAGTCCAGATAACAAGCCTCGTTCAACCGACGAGAGGTTGTCTGGTGATGTCGCCAGATTAGATGGACAGTTGACGGCATCTACGAACGCAGGTCACGGGTCACTCGACAAAGAGGCCTCCTTTTCGTCGACAGGCTGGTGTACAACATCTGCCATGCAATCCTCGGATCCACAAATTTCCCCGATCAGACGCAACGATATGAAGATACGGAGAGGCTCGTTGCAAATGTTTAAGGTTGGCCGGGAGGCGGTCAATGAAAGAGAACGTTCATTGAATGAGTTGCCTTGGAGAAAGGAGACGAGCAGTCGCGAAGAAGAAAGAGATGACACAAAAGCTGAGGATCACGACACCAACCGTTGGACAACGACTGATGACCGACAAGATGAGGACAGTCACTTGGAGCAAGGACATACGCTTCAAAGATGTCGCAACTTTGAGAATATAACCAGGCTGAGAATGTCCACAGGGCAAGATATCCCTTTCACCATGGACCCTAACAACAGTGAAGAGAGTCAAGAGGTCGACTTGTCTTGGCGAGATTGTCAGGATTGGTACATGACCGAGGTCAGTTCGAGTGCTTTTTGTTCAGTTTATAGCCTTTTGGATGAATACGAGGTTTTTATACCAAATATTTCATAGCAAGTCTTTCTGTATTAACCGTTATAATATAGAAATATGTAATATGAAAGTGTAAAAAGAGGGAATCTCAGTTACCTCAATCAATTCGGGCTGGCTGATATCATGGGAAGTGAAGTACTAACAGCTCTTGTCTTGCCCCTTGTTAAAAAAGGCAATTCGGTGGGTATGCTTAAACTTCTGTAGCTTGTATGGTCACTAGTATGAATCTCAATCATTAGATGTTTTATTGCTGCTAATGGGCATCTTTTTCATCTGGTGAAATGGGTCAAAAAATGTACCGCTATTCTGACTTGATCAGTGTTTTATCAACACACGCTGAAAAACTGTGAAACAAACTAAATGTAGGCCTTGAAAATGAAAAAGCTCACATTTGATCTAGTTTCCATTAAACTCTGAGTGCATTGACAACCAAAGTCGTCGATAATTTTCATATTGCATAATCAAAGCATCAGATCCTTGAAAGCAAAGTTTTCTGCACACGTACTCGACTATTCAGAGAAAAAATACGTCAAAAATTTGATAAAATCTTAAATTGTAAAAGGCAAAAAACTAGACGATATATTTGTAAATCAGCCGTTTACTTCGGTTCCACACGGAATATCTCAAATAACAAGCCCTCAAATGGCAGGATAGTCACACAAGGACCACTTTCTGATGATGCCCAGTCGTGGAACAAACTGAACTCAAGTCGCACCGGTAGGGAACGTTCAGAATGCTAGACAACTCATGCTAGCTTTCTATCAGCATCATAGTCACTAGGCCTTCTACAGGTCCTACCTTTGCTGTTGGTAAACTGTCAAAATCGACAGACCCATGTCTTTTACTAGGCTCGGGATCGTTTGCAATGTTTATCTCTCCCCTCAGTTAAGTGGCTTATTTGGTTTTTCTTTCCTGATCGGATTACAATCAGTTGACTCTGGATGTTCCTGTATTTTTCTCACCCCTATCCCTTTCATCGTTTTCACTTATTGGCAATATCAATAGGATTTATATCAAAAAGTAGACAATTTCTACGTGAAGTATCAGCCCTCTCAACCGAAGTGGTAGAGAGATGCCAAGTTAGTCGATGTGCTTTAATTAAATCTGATTGCAGGCCTAAATTCTGTTCATAGATTCACAATATATACGTCACATTAAAGTAGTATGTATCGAAATGGATGTGAGTGTGAGGTTCATGTATATAATAAACTTTTACAATAATATATATTAATGGAGTTGTTTGACCTCGAATTTACGACTTACTCTGATTATCAGGGAGACTTAGATGAACGCAACTTGTCACCAGTATATAGTATGCATTTTAATTTCAGGAGTCAGACAAGGGATTTTGTACATTCCAAGACGTTGCACCGGCATCGTAGTTGGCATAGTCAGTGGGTCTTTCCATTCTCAACACCGCAATACAACTCGTCAAGGAGACAAGTGAAGTCGATCCTTTGACCAACGTTCCACTGAACAGTTGTGGTATCTCTCTTGTCCTTGTGCATTCAGCTTTCCCATTACCTCGTATAACCCCCTTGAACATCATATTGTCTTATCTGCTTTGAGCAGAGTTAGTGAGACTTAATCATACTCTCCGCTGGTTTCCTCATCCAAGCTTGTTAATATGTCAGCAATCCTCTTCATTCATGTCCTATTAAAGTATCCATCTTACCCTGTAGGAACCGTCTTTTATCTCCCTGGTTCAATGAGTTCACTTTGAAACACTTTTACTATATTCGTACTATCCGAGGTGTCTGTGATCAAAACCGTGTACTGCGAGCCAACTATTTCTTATCTCTATCGCTTCTTTTGTGCTACAATTCATAATGCCAAGTCTCTGACTTCCCTGTGTATGTATGACTACTTTGCACTTTAGTAAGATGATAAGGGAAATTTAGATGAATTCCTTAACTCTATGGACCAACTTAATGAAAGAATTAAATTCATAATGAAACTGGAGGAGGATGAGTGACTAATCTTCCTAGCTTTTGAGGTCATTCGCTCCACTGGCGGATTAAGAGGAGATTATTCAGAAAGAAATCACAAGCTGGAAATATCCTTAATTATTACAACTACAGACTGAAGATCGGAATAATGATAAGTTTGATCATCACAAGCTTAAAACTAACAAATATTCAGAAGTGGGTTGACCTCGTTGTCGCAACTTGGTCTTGTTCTCAT